AGTATATCTAGTGGGAGAAAATGCCAAAGATACCCAAGAAATTAAAGTTCCGTTTGTGAGGAGTCTTCTGTAATAATATTACATTTCTAGAAAAAAAAGAGAATATCATGTTGGGACATAAAGTATTTTAAACTGTATAAAATTCAATTGTATAAAGTTACCCAATCACGAGAAAATTATCCTATAGGTTTGATAGAAGGTTAATTTTTGATCGCTCACTAAACAGCGTCGTCTTCTTGGGCGATTATGTTTAGCAAATTTACAATTGCTCTTAGCAAGAAATTCACCAACTGAAGCACGATAGTTATTAAAAGTGCAATAACCGGGTGTCGTATCGCATACAACTGGAACTGAACTTGAAGGATTAATAATAAACGATTCATTATTCGATTTGCCGAAGAAAGAATTAATTTGTGAAAGAGTATTATAAGAAAATAGAGCGTTATCACGAGAAAGATTGAATTTGGATAAATGTAAAGCGTAAGTATCAATTGTGTAAGCAGGCTTTTGCGTTGAGGTTGTGCCTGAGGTATTATTATTATTTTGACATGTTGTTCTTTGTTGAGGCATTTCTCGAAAGTCATAAATACTGTTGATTTAAAAGAAAAAGGTCGCTGTTTACGCGAGGTAATATTCCACTTACGGAATCAATTGGATTTATCGCCCAATAAAATTCTATGAAATTTACATATGTAATGAGCTATATTAGCTGTATCAGGTATAGATCTTCATCTTACTTCTAAATCTATATCTTTGATAATAACGATTTCAGTCTAATATTATCTCGATATCGATAACACAATGGGCACGAAAAATAACATAAATAAACCACCTCCACGTAATTTACAAAAAGAAGGAAGAATTAAAAAACGAAATGTATCTTCGGTCTTACGCAAAAATGGGATTGTAAAACCTAATCAATTAGTAATACATGGTAAAGGTATATCTAAAAAAAAACAGAAAAGGATAGAAAGACAGCTTCGATACGTAAGTTTATGCAAGTACAATTTGTAATCCTATTGATAATTTGTATACTTTTGATTATAAATATTTATTTTTTATTAAAGGAAATATGTAGACGTGTTGAAAAAGGTGAAATGGTTGGTATAGAGTACTGTGTTAAGTATGTTTATTTCGGATCGGATCTATACGAATCCGTACCTGCACGGATCTGAAGAGTCATAGATCCGAACTCTTTTGCGACCATGTGTTGATCGACAGAAGTTGGCCAATAATGAAACATGAATTTATGTAACGTAACACGATCAGAAAATCCAAAGCAAAAGCAAAAAGTTCATTTGAAAAATTGCTTGTTCTTGAAAATTTCATAAGAAACCAACTTTCATGTTCTAACAAGTTTTCGTTGGATAATTTTTTATTACTTAGTCTATTAACTTCTAACCATAGTGCAGTAGTATAATCAATAACCCTAACAAACGAACTTTAAAAGTTTGTTATCACGTGATCGTGAAATTTTGTAGGGTAATAAGCATAATGTCTGAAATTCGAAATTCAAAGTTGAATTCACGAAACTCTTTTGAACATTCTTTTACAAAAGAAAATATGTCTCGTAAAAAGCAAAAATTATCAACTCATGCTGATGATGAACAAGATCAAAGTCTTATAACAATGGTTAAACAATACATATTAGAATCTAAAATTTCATCATCTAATAATACACCTTTTAAAGATATATCATCTACTTACAGAATCAAAAATGATCCAAATCAAATTATGAAAAGAAAGTTTATTTATTCAGATGATGAAGATAGTAGTTCGGACGAAAAGCACGGATCTATTTTTAATAATGTTAATAATGTTGAAAAAGATCCAACAACTATTAATGACGATGATAGTACTACTGTTGGTGGTGACGATGATGAATCAACGATCATTGCTAATGAAGAATCCATCATTGATAGTAAAGTAAGCATCGATAGTGAAATAACCATTTATAAGAACGAAATGATCATTGATAAAAATGAAACGATCATTGATAAAAATGAACCAATCATTTATAAGACAGAAACAACCATTGATAGAATAGAAACAATTGATAAGAAAGAAACAACTATTAATAAGACAATCATTGATAAGAAAAAAGTTATCATTGATAAGAATGACAGGAATGTACCTGTTGCAGAAGAATTGCCGAAAGATGAGAATCGAAGATTGATATTGGAATATGAATCAGAATGGGAAAAGTACAAGATTACAAAAAGAGAGTATGAATTTATGAACGAACAATTGTTGTTACGCGAAAAAAAATTAAAAAAAATTAAAAGTTTGCTGGGATTTTGTGACTGCACAGTAGAATGTTTAGATAGGAAATAATTTAGGTAATGAATGGTATGAATGGTATGGGAGTAAAAAAAGAAAAGAAATCTAAACGATAATTGTGACAAGTTTGCAATTTGTAAATGGTTTGTTTGGTGGTTTAATTTGGCAAAGTTGGGTTGCATAACATGATAACATTTGTATTTCTTATGCACTTAATATGACTATAGACAATATTGGTCTTGAACATTTATATTTCTCCTCCGATTAGATCAGATCAAGAAGTTATGACCTTGGCATCATCTGGAAATTATCAGAATAACCGAATAACCGAGGTTCGGTTGAATCATTCTGCTGCATTCTCAAATATATAAAAAATATAAAATTGTAATCAATATCATCAATTTCAATTGCTAATAAACTTAGAATCTATAATTTGCAAAAATATATATATTATAAAATCAAGTTTTATAGCCAAATTAATACATTAAGAAAAAAACAAATCCGACCAATAAGTCAGATGTTCCTAAAGAAAAATTTATCAAACATTTTACTGAAGATGTGATTTTCCACTTTTTACAAGTTCCAATCCATTAGCCAGCTCTTTCTCAAATAATTCAGTACTCATTAATCCATTTACATCAAACCAATTACCAAAAGATTTTGATATTTTGTGTTTTGAAACTATAGTTTTTCCAGATGAATTATTTCCATGAAATTCAAAAGTGATATTATAAATATCCGAATACTTTTTAGTATTTGTATGGATTGTAAGACGTTCTTTCATATCTGGTGTATTTTTTTCACCCAAGAATATGATATCTTTTTCAAATAGGAATGTATAGATTACTAATATAAAGTTTAAAACAAAGTATCTGTTAAATAAAATTAGTAGTTAAGGACTTTTATAATGAAAATAATTTAAAAATATATTAGGGAATAAGTAAACATATATATATTTAGGATACGAGACAACACAAATAAGCGTAATTTCTTTTGATTCGTTAAATGGTGTTACGTGTCCATAATAACCACCGTAAAGAGCAAACGCGCAAGATAAATATCCAAATATTAATTTAAAATCGGTATGCTTATGATTTTGGATAAATTCAGCTTTTGTAATAAAATACTATAAAATATTATTATTAATTAATTAATATTTTGAGGCGGAAATAAAATAGACATGAAAATTTCAAAGATATCAACCTTCTGAATGTAATCATCACAGGCGTTTTTTAATTCCACAAGGTTTGAGTTATTAACTTTGATTGGTTCCTCTTTTTCCTCTTTTTCTTTGACAGGTGGTTGTTCTATCCAAGATTATAAAAAGTATTTAATTAATCCAATTACAAGGGATTGATACAGAAATAACACACAGAAAACCAAAGGAAAAAATTATAAAAAAATGTGACTTAAAGTAACAGTACAAAATATTAAAGCGTTCCATTTCACAAGTAAACTTTAATACTTGTGAGTAAAATACCTTCTTCATGATCAGTTTTAGGATCCGACATTTTTTTTTCGTCGCGTTTTTTAAGCGGCAAATTTGAACTCTCGCTATAAATATGTTTGTTGATCAAACTTACAATGCGTGGCTTAAATTTGTTGGTTAATTTGCGTCGTCGATCTAAGCATGATCATTGGCTAATCAATTTATCAACGAAGGGTGATATCAAAATATCTAGAAATCTCGACAATACGTCGTATACAGATATAATTTGACAGTGAATTGGTAATGAGTTTAACTGTCAAGTTTAAAACAATACAGTAAACAATACGTATACTTTTTAAACTTATTTTTGTTAATACTTTTTTAAACTAATTTTTTTTTGTCTTTGCACAGAACAAACGAATTACTACTGGAAGCATTATTATTTACTATATATTCGAATATCTATTTAAAAATATATATATATAAAATAACGTTATAGAACTTACGTACGTACGTACGTACGTACAGTACGTTTATTTTATTATTAAAAATAATATAATTCTCGCGTATATGTATTATATCACATTTTATACGTATCACATTAAATGATTCTGATCGGCCCATATGTGCCACAAACATTATAGGTATTGGTATTGGATATATTTTTAACTTAACAATAATATATAATGTCTTTTACTCCAGAAGAACTCGAAATCAACGAAAGTGACGATGAACAATATTATGAGGACGTGTACTTCGATTCAGATCTTGATAATGAAACCAGTGAAGTTGATAACGAACAAATCAATCCGACAGGTTTTTTAATAGTTTTTCATTGAAGCATTCGGAAAAGATTTTTTAAATTTAACCGTAGAACATTGATATAATACTATAATAGAAATATATTCAATAAAAAAGTCACGAAAAAAATTAACAAAAGATGAATTATTTTATGATCCTGAAATCGATAATGATGATGAAATTTGGATGAAAAAAAAATTGGCTCGTAAGCATTTTAAATATTGCATGTTAAGAAAATACTAGTAGTAGATGAATGATCAATGATGAATATATATTTCTGTATTTAAGAGTATAATACCGAGACGACAAACCAAACGACAACAAATCAAACAAAAGAAATAACAAATCAAGCAGCAAACCAAAGTCAAACAGATGCGATATTATCATGTCCCATGTGTTTTACTGTTTTAAGTTATCATACCCAAAGGCGAGTAAAAAAAATTTTTTACATTATTAATAACTTTGTGATTAACATAATACCGTATGATACTAATGAATCATATAAATATATAAATATATAAATGTATATATATATATATATATATATATTTATATAGACATGAACTTTATTCATCACAATACCGGGCAATTTTTGTAGAAAATTGTAAAATTAATCGGTCAGAACGATTAGTTTATACTGATAAAGAAAATGCTAAAAAACGTAGTAAAAGTAAAAATAAAAGATTATCAGATAAACAAAAGCAAAGACCTACTAATTCAGCAGATGTTGAACTAGATGTCAAAAGCGATGATACGATAAAAGAGGAAATTTATTATCCCGTAGAATGTGAAATTTGTGGAACTAAAGTTGCAGTAGTGGATGAAGAGGAAGTATTTCACTTTTTTAATGTTATTCCATCATGAATTATTTATGAAATATATTCATAAATTATTCATGAATCATGCATTTTTTGCATCGTGTGAAAGATTAATTAGTTGCAGATATTGTTTATTTGTACTAGTTAAAATTAATTATGATGTATATCAGATTATACAGCATAAATCAGTATATCGATTTCATAACCATAATAAAAAAGTATATAATATATATTAATGTATACATGCAAAAAAATTGTATAATATACATAGCTTACATGCTGAAAAAATAAAAGTACAAACGAGTTAAATTATAGTTACAATTATAGTTACAATTAGAGGTACAAAAAAAAAAAAAAAAAAATAGATGGAAAAATCGTTTATTAAAATTGGGTGAATTACAGTAAACGGTATATTATTAAAAAAATGCATATACAAATAATTTACTCATTTTTAAAATTAACACCAAATTGTCCGTCCGTTTATACTGCAGTTACTTTAGGTAAAAAGACTCAATCACATAATATTTCGAAAAGAGTATATACAAATTATTTTTGAACATAACGTTCAAATAGTTCATAGTCAATAATAACAAATC